TCCGATTTGCCAGTGGCTTATTTTAATAATATATAGTAATTTTGTGTGTCAACATTCTCTTCATAGACAATTCACCCATTGGTAAGGACAAGTCAAGTTTCACTAAGTTCTAATCTCGATAACGAGTTAAGGTATTCGACTATTTTTACTCAAGTAGGTTTATACAAAGGACGATTATATGCAGTCAAGAAGGTTCATAAAAAATACATTGATCTTACTCGTACTGTGAAGAAAGAACTCAAAGTAGTAAGTAGCAATTTTTAATTAAACAATATTTATGTTATGTAAATACTTATAAAATATTATATGTACAAAAATTGATCGTAATTTACTAAACTTCGAAGCAAGGGCATTTAATTTTTATACCCCATTAAGAAACATATTCTGTTATTTCAGTTGAGAGATTTGCGGCATGATAATCTAAACGCTTTTATCGGCGCTTGCACCGACCCTTCAAATATTTGCATTGTTACCGAGTATTGCTCCAGGGGGAGCCTAAGGGTGAGTGTAAACAGTGTTTCTGACATTAATCCCTACTGCTTCCATAATAGTTGTCCTCTATATCCAATTTCTCGCTTCGTATATTCTATTAGACATAATGTTCGTATTTATATGTAGGTATGCAGTCTAAAAATGAACATAATAAAGAATATTAAGAATACTTATCGATGATGAAGAGCTTCTAGGCTTTTCTGCCCGGAAAGTTTACGACCTATTGTAATAAGAGTACTTATTTTATTTGTGATATAAAAATGTACCTAAAGTAGGACCCTTTGATGAGAAATATCTCTTGGCGTGGCTTTTAAGGTAAACTCCACTCAAATCTAATCAATGCGGGACTACAAACGGCGACGCGTCGTTCGGACACGCCAATGCACGACATTTTGTCTCATGTCTCACCGAGTTTTTTAAATATATATAATCATCTTAAGATACCCACACATCCTTAGCTATTTGTGCTATGCCTGAGAAGTTATCCTAATACTAACCTATGTCGCCTATTTCTTATTGACTTCCCTAGCGCTCTCTGTTCTCCTAGTCTTTCTAAATCCTCCTCATTTCTATCCTTGGTATCCTCATCATTCGCCTGTAACACCACATTTCGAACGCCTTTGACTTTTCATTTCCGCCGTGCACACCGTCGATGTTTCGCACCCGTACAGCGCCGTATTCCAGACATACACCATTGACAATCTTTTTCGAATTTCTAAATTAACCGTTCTGAGTTATCTGACTTCCTACATTCCGAACATATCTACATGCACAATTCTCCCAATAAACTTACAACAAAAATAATTGTGTAGTGAACACAATCCTTAGAAAACATCCCATTAACTGGAGTTCAATATCGTTTGACAAGGTCCTTTTCAATTAAGGATATCGGCTTGTGAAGCGGAATCCACGTATACTCAATAGATCATTAAATGTGAATGGTTCAATGAGAACAATGCTCGTCTCTCACACGGGTCGACTGGGTTCTATATCTGGCCGATGCAGAAAGTCTTTTTGCCTTAATTTATGTTTATTTCTTTTTCTTTTTTTCTAGTTTTCACATTAATTTTTCGAAATTTCACATCTGCCAGATGTCCCATGACAGCTAATTTCATTTGTTTTTACTTTTCTAGGATATATTGGAAAACGAAGACGTAAAATTGGACAGCATGTTTATTGCATCCCTTGTTGGTGACATTCTACGGGTACAGTATCAAATAATGCGAAGAAAAAAATCCATTAAATCTTTTTCTGTAGTTGATATCTTGTAAAAGGGTATCAACAACCTTTTTCCTTCCTTTATTTTTGTATTTTGTCAAGTAAAATAATTTTCCAGATTTATTTTATTGAGAAAAGAAAATCAATGGATCAAAATTACTGCTCGCAGTTAATACACTTTACGCTGGTGTCATAATTGTTTGTTGTAGGGGATGATTTATTTACACGAATCTCCAGTTCGATTTCATGGAAACCTTCACACAGGAAACTGTCTGGTAGATTCAAGATGGGTCGTCAAATTGTCAGACTTCGGTCTGAGAGAATTTATGAAAGGCTCAGAAGATCCATCTTCCAAAGATCCGTACAAAGTACTCGAAAAATGCCGAAGTAATTCTTTCTCAAAAACAAATCGTTGTTTATCGTTTCCTATTGTTTCTCCTTCTGGTTTTTGAACTAACTCTTACTTCTATCGCCTAATATTAGTATTTATATCTTACACCATGATTTGTCTAGAACTAATTTATCGTGCCCCGGAAGTGTTGCGGGCCATGAATTCCCTTTTTGAAGAAGATGATACAATCGGAACTCCGAAAGCTGACGTATATTCTTTTGGAATAATCCTGCACGAATTTTACAACAGGAATGGACCGTTTGGGAACACGGACTTGCCTTACACAGAAATTCTGCAAAGAATCATGAATTTATCTTCACCTCCTTTCAGGTAACACTTGTTTTGATATTTAATTAAGGTTACGTATCGTTGGGTTTGTGTCTTCAAAAATGGGCTAGGAATTGCGAAAAACTGAGAAAAACTAAACTTAGAATTAGCTATATATTCCTGAGATTGTGTACCAGGATTCATGTTGAACAATATGAAACTTGTTGCGCCGCGCGAACACCGCAAATACGTTTCAAGTGCATGCAGGTGCAGTAGACTAGTCAACTTTATTCGATCTCTTCCCTTTCCGAGTAGACTAGCGCTGGCAAATTTCCACAAGCCAAGCGCCTAGCTCTTCATTTGGGCATTCAATTCAAATTCAAACGCATATTATTAAGACCCTTATAAGGGTAATTTAAACCATTAGAAAGCCCTCTAAGTAGTTACAGTAATTGTATATACCTTTTAAACAAAATCTCGATACTATTCCAAAAATAGCTGAACAGGCTCTTCACTTATTTCACCTGAATAGCTACCACGGAAAGAGATGTAGAAGTTTATACACATTTTCAAAAATTTTCTTTGTTTTAAAATTTAAATTTAATTTTTTGAAATTACTATCAGAAAAATCTAATTGTAATATAATTCACGCTGATAGAATGTTCTTGTAAATATAACAGGAAAAGTAAAATAATATCATTGACGTAGGTAAATAGATTTTTGTCATGAAACTTTTATTTTAAGGCCATCGCTTGAAGGAAACGAAAATATTTTCGATTTCGTTAAAGATTGCTTGAAGGAATGTTGGGCAGAAGACCCAGACTCGAGGCCTGACTTCAAAACAATAAGAGTGAAATTAAGACCGCTACGGAAAGGAATGTAAGACATTCTTCTTGTTTTATATACAAATCGGTTCATTAAATCCCAATTGAAAAACGTTTTCTCTACTTTGCTTAGCCGTTTTATTATCGGCTATAACAAAATTAAACAGCTTCATTGATTTTATTTTATCCAAAATACTGATTTTTTATGAGTGCTGTTTTAAAGTAATAACTTTTCACATTAAATATTCTTCATTTACCGCCATGTTACGACATATTATGTATAATATTAAAGTATTATAAATTAATTATTCAATTCATAATTATTATTTATTTTAAAATGCATTGTAATTACAAACATTACATAAATTTAAATTAGAAGAAACCCTAGACAAAAGTTTTCAGTCTCTCTCCAGTCTCTCAGAGTCTTTCAGCGTCTCTGAGAGCATCTCTCGCAGTCTTTCACAGTCTCTCAGTTATTGCCTAGGTGTTTTAATGGATCTCTCAGAGTCTCTGTATGGACTCGAACGATAAAATTGTTAATTCGAGTCTCTCGTTCTGAGACTGGATACGAAATGAGGATCTCTCTATGAGCGACTCGAGTCTCTCGTTCAGAGACGTTAAACAGTTTTTTTGACAGTCTCTCGACAGTCTCTCTCAGCGACACCAGACAAACTCGATGAGAGACGGAGACTCGAGTCTCGCTATCAGAGACTCTGAGAGACTGAACATTTTTATCTCGGGAAATCATTTGGTTTATTTAAGTAAACCCAATATATTCGATAATATGATGGCAATGATGGAAAAGTATGCAAATAACTTGGAAGTTCTGGTGGATGAGAGGACTTGTCAGCTTCAAGAAGAAAAGAAGAAAACAGGTCATAAACCTTTTTTATTAACAAAAATATAATTCTTATTATCCAAGTTTATTTTCGTTTTGATAAATTTTAGAAGCCCTTTTGTATGAAATGCTTCCAAAACCTGTGGCAGATCAGCTTAAAATCGGCGGAAAAATTGAAGCCGAAAGTTTCGACTGTGTTACAATTTATTTTAGCGACATAGTAGGATTCACTGCGATGTCAGCAGAGAGCACTCCCCTTCAGGTATTTATTGTTATTACTTTGGTTCAATCGGCATATACAACCCCTTACATACATACCTACATGTATAAGAGCTTTACGGGCTAGACGTCTTTATTCTCGTCTTTCTTTAATAAAATTGAAATTGAAGAGAAATTGGTAATGAAACTTTTTAATCAAACATTTCAGATAAATTTCACAAAAGTAATACAAATTTTAGCAAACATTATTTTCGGCAAATACAAAATAAATATTTTGTGTTGTAGGTGGTAGATCTTTTAAACGATTTGTACACTTGTTTTGACTCAGTCATAGAGAATTTTGATGTTTACAAAGTTGAGACCATAGGAGATGCGTACATGGTGGTAAGTTCCTTTTAAAGACCTAAAAAAATACAAAATATGTTTACTAAAAATTGTGTTACAAGTACAGGTAAGTGGACTTCCGCTACGAAACAACATGAACCATGCATCAGAAATCGCTAGTATGTCGTTGAAACTCCTACAGGAAATCAAACAATTCAAAATTCGACACAGACCTAACGATAAACTGTTACTGCGAATCGGAATACATTCAGGTAATATAATAATTGGTGCAAAATATACATACCTATGTACGGTATTTCGAAAATTATTTAGAGAAATGTGCAAGGTACTTTTTGATAAAAAAATGCGTGTAATTATACAACACGCTACTGAAGTGAAACTTCTTCAAACATACCGGGGTAGGGGTTAAGGAATTGGTTTAATTGTATTATTTGTACACTATGAATTTAAATTTTACACTACACATGGCGGAGTTGCCTGTAACGAACGTTGCATTGAAGCGCGCTTACGGCTCAAGCGATCCCCACTACGAACTCGACTACGTGACCGAGTAGAGGGGGGACATACGTTGCATGATTTCGTTACAAAGCAACTCGCATGAAACGAACTTACCCTACCGTGCGTAAAAAAGTTTCACTTCAAAAAAAAAAAAAAACAAGGAATAATGCCCCCACTTGTTTGTATATTTTTTCATGCTTATAAATAAAAAATGTTTAGGCCCAGTATGTGCGGGGGTAGTTGGTTTGAAGAGACCAAGGTATTGTCTATTCGGAGATACTGTTAACACCGCCAGCAGAATGGAATCAACTGGAATTCGTAAGATTTTACAATAAGTTACATACTTACAAGTAATTATAAGTGGTAATACTTAAACCTCTTTGTATGCAATTTTTGTACGTAAAGTTAGAGTTACGTGACATGGAATATAAAAAGCATTTTTTTACTCTACTTTCATTCAATTTTACATTAACTAACTTAAAGTTTTCGTTAAAAAAATACGTTGGTTCAGAATATTTTATGAATTCGTATCTTTGTTTCACCTGTGAAGTCTACATTATTCTATTGTATAGTAACTATCAGCAAAACAATATATTTTTTTTATGGTTATCCGCCTATTAAAATTCATTAGGTGAATGTGTTTTTCATTAAATGTAAATAAAAAGTTTATGGTTATAGCATAGCGAATTTAATGCTAGTTTTTTTCCATTACTTTTCACACACATATTTTAGATTTAGAAATTGTCTTTGGTTATCCTTTTTGTGCATAAAAAGAAGTTTGAGTGCCTACCTATTGTAATTAAAGCATTGCATGTCCATTTGATATCATTAACAAAGATGTGGTTTATTTGAAATATTTGAATTTAAAATGCAAATACAAAAAAAAATACCTATTTTTATCTTGCATTTAAATACTTTTTTGAGAAAAGCAGTTTGTAATTTATTTAAAAAACTTCTCCAAACGTATTTTCTATTTGTAAAATGCAAAATACGTTTTTGCCGTTAAAAGTTTTGCTAGTATCGCCTATCAAACATTATGTTAAATGAATGAAACTTGCTCAAATTGGCCATTAAAGATATTAGAACCTTCAAAAGAGGACAAAAAGACATTCCATGAATGCCTTCTAATTCTTTAACTGAAGAGAGCTCAAAAAATTCTAAATTCCTTGGAAATGGATAATCTAAAATATTGGATCTGTATTGTTTTCCGGGTTTAGTGTCATGTTCCAAAGTTCCAAATTGATATCAGCACCTGTCACATAACTACTTATCATACCTTTAGTAAGGAACTACGAGAAAACAACCCAAATCTAAAAAAACTACGGATTCCATTTTTTCTCTTATTACAATGTGTAAAATATCGGAAACAAAATGGGGTTGTAAATATTTTGATATAAAATAATTAATGTTGATTTTACATCAATAAACCCCTATTTTGGCTCTAATCATTCACGCTAAACAAACTATTTTAGCATCAGTGTTAAATTAAAAATGAAGAAAATATAACATAAAGATAGAAAAGCTATATCTCAATCACTTCAAACATGAATTATACTCAATATTCGCAGCTGGTGATACAGTGCAAACACTACTATTAGTCTAGAAACACTCCAATATTTAAAAAATGAGCAAATGCCTGCTAGGTTTTCTTAAAAAATATTTTATACTTAAGAAAATGTAGAAAATTACATAGGTACTACAAAAAAGTATTTATTTAAAAAAGTATTTTTCAAGTACGTATTCACAAATCAAAAAAGTATTTGCATTTTGTAATTAAATTCTTTTAAAAAACCATTTTGCACATCTCTAATCATTAACAACTCTTCTTCAATTTAAGCTTTGAAGATTCATTGCAGTAGACAATGTACCGAAATATTGAAAGAGATCGGAGGATATCATTTGATTGAAAGAGGCTTAATACCTATAAAAGGAAAAGGAGAACAAAAGACATTTTGGCTTTTAGGAGAAACTCCAAAAGCGAGCCAATTAAGAAACTCCGAACGACAAAAGCAAAAGGCAGCGTCATTTCATCAAACGCTTGAATCGAATAAATCCCATTTCATTCCGAAAAGTTCACTTAAAAATAAACACAAATCAAGAAATCACAATGTCTTGCCCCGCTGTTCCAGTTTTGAATCGACCAAAAAAATCCGATTTGCCAGTGGCGAAAAATTAGCAAATCATAAAAACTCTCAGCTGCAGTTAAAAATACTGACGGAAAACGATTTAAATTTTCCGAGTATTTCGCCAGCTGCATCTCCCAGTTGTTGTAATAAATCGACGCTGAAATCCACGAGCGTTTCCTGTCCGTGTATAGAAAATCTGTCTGGATCCGGAACTATCCTTATTAATTCCCAACTGTCAGTCTATTTAAGTCCTGACACGATGAATAATAAATTGGAAAGACCGATGTGCTATAGCGTTCCAACACTTTGTCTTTCGGTCTCACATGTTCAAAAAGAACAAGCTGTCTCAGCTCCGACAAGTCCCAAAAAACATCACGCCGTCGATTTGCTATTCCAAAAATCTGACGATTTTTTACATGCCAATGATTCGACGCCATTATTAAAAGTTACCACAGCAGACGATACAGAATTGTTTACGTAATGCAGAAATTAATTTATTACCAATCTTCTATTGCTGTAAGTATTCAATGTGTTTATTATTTATTTAATGGCTTAAGACGATTTTATAGATACCTATGTATTTATTTAGTAGTAGTAAATGTCCACTGATTGTACTTAAAAGATGTTCTCGTAAAATACATTATTGTGAAATGAAACAAGTTACACAATAAAAAAAAAACTTTTATAAACCACATAATTTCTGTGTCTATGCCATATGGCCAATTGTTTCTTCTGATAAACAGTTGTAGTTTTTCTTTATCCGCTACAACCCTACTGATTATAAAAAAGGTAAGGTTTGTTAATTATTATAGCAAAGATTTTACACTTCATAGATTTTGGCAAATTAATGATTCTTTCTTGCCAAAAAACATTAAATATCGAGAAAAAAATGCCTCCACTCTTTCCTATCCTGAACTAATCTTCGCATTTCCCTAAAACTAGAACAGCCCACATCCTTAACTATTTGCGAACAGTAATCTAATCTAGGTCTACCTCTACCCCTCTTAAATCCTGTTTCTGCCTCTAATATGTCTCCGACTAGACCTTCATGCCTGAGAAGGTGTCCTACCAACCTATCTCGCCTATTTTTTATTGACTTCCATAAAGTCCTCTGTTCTCCTATTCTTTCCAATACCTCTTCATTTCTAACCTTTTCTACCCACGTTATCCTCATCATCCGCCTATAACACCACATTTCGAACGCTTCTAACCTTTTCTTTTCCGCCGCGCCCACTGTCCGTGTTTCGCACCCGTACAATGCCGTGCTCCAAACATACACCTTTACAACCTTTTTCGAATTTCTAAATTAACCGTTGGCGAGCATAGAAGTGACTTCTTTTTATTAAAGGCGACACGATCCTGAGCTATCCTCTGCTTTATATCCCTACTACTCCTTCCGTCCTGACTTATCTGACTTCCTAGATACCTGCAATCGGCCACTTCTTCTAATTTTTCGTCTCCTATCTTTATATTCGCTCTTTCCCTACTTTTTCTTCCCTTGCATACCAGTATTTTAGTTTTACTTTTATTTATTTTCATACAGTACTGATCTGTCAGTACCGCTTCCATTTTATTTAAAGCTATCTCTAGGTCCTCCTTGCTAGATGCTAATACTGTTATATCATCTGCAAATCTAAGCATACTAATCCTTTGCCCTTGCACATCTATCCCTGCAGTTGTACTGTCTTTAATGATGTTGATGGCGTCTTCGATGTATAGATTAAAAAGTAGCGGTGACAGTGTGCATCCCTGTCTGACTCCCTCCCTAATATTTACTTCTCTACGTTGCATCCGTAGCTCTATAACTGCCTGTTGCTCTTTATACAAACTAAGTATTACTCTTCTATCTTTGTAACTCATCCCTGCATTTTTAAGTATATTTAACATCTTATTTAAAGTTCGCAGGTATAGGTACATCAATGATTGTAAATTCGGCCGATTTAATGGATTTTTGTTAATTACAGTGGTAAATGCGGCTAGAAAAGTTTGGTATAGATTCAAAAATAAATTGCAAATTCGGCCGGTTTGTGCTTAGGTAGACGAAGAAAATACATCTTCTTATCTTATGAATGCTTAAGTCGGATGATAAGAATGCTGTTTTAACACGTAGAAGGTACGTGTTCTCTCCAATAAACCTATAAAAGGAATTTTTCCGGCCAAATTTACGAAGGTACTTAATTTTCGGTCGATTTGAACGGATTGGCCGAATTTAGATTTTCATTTAATCAATTCTTCTACCTGTCGTAATAACAGGCCAAATTTACCACTGCCCAGGTACTTTAGGTAATAAATAGATAAATACTAATCTTAGTTAAAACTTTAGCGGTTTCTCATAGCACAGATGTTAAACTGCTGACGAAAGTAAGTAAATATAAAACCGGTTACTTTTTGCAGCATAGCAGGTAAAATTCGTACGTCGGGGACCAAAATGGTGGAATGTACTAATTTTTAGTTAGGTACCGCAAATAACATATATAATATGTAGAATGAATAAGTTTGCGACGTCTGCATGAAATAATAATAAGTAACAGCAACAAAATTGTTTATAACTTTCCTTCGATTCATTTTTTAACATAATATTCATATATTCTCCTTTTTCGAAATAACCGTCAAAATCCCTAATTCAAAAATGGTAATTTATTTCATGGCAGAATACTCTGAAGGAATACAAACGTTGCCGCGAAGATGGCGCCACAATGTTAGTTTCCAGTTGTTAGTGTCTGTAATAATGAGCAGAAGGTTGCGTTGTTCGCTCAAGCTCGGACGGGCTCCAAACAAATAAGTTTTTAGCGCACAACTCGACTGAGGACTGTTCCGAGCTTTCGGGTGTTGTAGTAGTTACATTGGTACGCGCAGTGTGCGGCAGATTCCTAAATTTTCGTACGACTTTCAAAACTAGTCCGTAACGTTATCGCAAACCAGACGCAGAATGTGTGCAATATTTTTCGCGAAAATGTAAAAGGAAGAAAACGTGAACTTTTTTATAAATAATATACCTGACAAGAAGTCTTCGTAACATCGTCCTGTTTTACCGAAAAATAAAACTTTAAATACGTAGAGATATTTATCAACCAAAAGGCTTACTTAATTTAAATTTAAGTACAGTAGCAGCTTTATTAGATAGGAGAAGTGTCGCTGGTGTGTTAAAGTGTTGAAGAATTGAAGACATTTTATTATATTCTCTATTCTGTAGATAAACAAGTTCGTACATATTTATCTTCTGCGTCACAGTTCGACTAGTTCTGTTGTCCGGTTGTGTAATATAAAAGTTGTTTTTTAAATCGGCCGGAAAAAAAAACGATACAATATTCCTACTCACTCGGTTTTACGTATAATTAGTACGCGGAGTAGAGATGTATTTTATCAGTGTTTTGTTGGTTTTTTTCGGTGTGGCCTAGCCGCAGTTGTTTGCCGTTAGAAATAGTTACAATATCGGGTGCCCCTACACATGGTAAGTTAACAATTATTTTCGTATTCAAGGTCAACAACACTACCCTTCCACTTACTTAAGTCTTATCGGTCAGTTGCGCCGTTGCGACCGTTTTTCTCACTTTTTCTAATCAGATTTACACACACATTTTCTCGCTCTTGTGCCTGTTTCCCGTTACCGATGCTTGGGCACGTGTTACTTACATGAAAGGTTGTCATTTGCAAAGTAATTCGGCTTGGCAAAGCAAATATTTGTTATTACTATAAATAGCACTCTAAAGTATTATTATTGTACGCTGTTATTGTTGCGCAATGTGTATATACATTTTATTATTATATTATGCTCATTTCATGTTGCAGTGTAAACGATTGGATTAAATTTATTTTATTTGTACGAGATATAAAATCAGCTCCGACATACCTAGGTACATATTTCAGCTACATGTGAAACAGACTTGACGAATAATTATATTTTTATGTAATCGTATCACAGCTTCATGTGTATTATTTATAAGGAGATATTTTGACAATTAAAATAAAATCGCATTTTCTCAATAAATTTACTTAAATGGACCTTTAAGTCCAAATTAAACGGACTCTGGAATGTTGTGTGTGTTTTTATATGTAACTACTTAGTTAAAATTGTTTGCTTATTAAAAAACAATTGAAACGTTTCGATGCAATAAAAATTGGTTCTTTTTAAAAAAGTGCCTCAGATTTAATGGGCCGTATGTGTATTATTTTAATATACTGCTACTACCATTTTAAATGTAAATAAATCTTGTAGCATGACAGGTATACACGACAAAAAAATACTTACAAAACGTTATCACAATTATACTTTTTCGTTCTTCAATAACTTTCTTAAAAAAAGTATTGACAGGACTATAGTTATCGTACGGTTCCTTCGGCAGATCGATCAACTGCCTAGAGTTAGATCTTGACATCCTAAACAATTTTCTGTTTATACGAAATATTGGTGCTGCTATTAAATTTTTGCCTTTCAAATTGGGTTTTGGACTGAAAAATTGGTTTAATTGGTTGGTATAGGCTTTAGCTTTATTGATGTTCTTATTCTCGTGTTTCAACCTGGAATCTATTGAACAACGAATTGTTTTTTCAAAATTTTGTGAAAACGAAAAATTGGTTTAATTGGTTGATAGGCTTTTGCCTTTATTGATGTTCTTATTCTCGTGTTTCAACCTGTAATCTACTGAACAACGAATTGTTTTCTCGCGACCGCGAAATCTGCTTGTTTATTATTTTTTGGTAATGCCTCATACCAAAAGTAATTTTAACAATCTGTCGGGTATTTTTCGCCAATTTGCTCTGCCAATTTTTATGTGTCATATACCTATTTAAAGTATATTTGCGTTTGTCCATCACTGAGTTAGTCGTGGAAAAAATCGTGGTTCAAAATTGCACTTTTTTTTAAAGATTGTAGAAATACGACAAAAGATGCTTAGAACGCTGTAATGGCGCTGTAGCGTTTTGTAAAATTTCATCCGACTTTATTAAGCGGTTTAAAAGATAGTGAATGAAAGCGACTTAGTACATAGTAAACATTCTGAAAACGCTTAATCAAAGAAGAGTACCATGGATGGAAGTAATTAACGATCATACTTTCGATATCCATCCAGGATGTTGCCGTTTTACTAAAAATTTTTAGTTCTAAATCTTAATTCGTCCAAATTTTAACATATTCAACTAGTGTTCAAAATTCTCAGAGGTTTGAAAAAAGTTGAGATGATTTTAAAATAGAAGATGCAAAATTGTTATACATTTAATAGATGACAATAGTCATAGAAAACAATACTATAGTATAGCTAGGTACACCTACATTAATTATGTTGGTTGGGAAGGTAACATAACATAAGAAGCTGTTGGTTTTTCGGAAGTTATTGCATATGTTGAATTTTGTCATCATTTTGATAGAATACTATGATTAGAAGTCAATTTCATTCGACTATGATAGAAAAAGTTAATGTTTAGAAAAAAACATTTTATTAAAAAACAAAGATAGATGATCTTCATGTTGTACCTACCAGAATATGTAAAACTGTTTCCAACAAATCATATCTGAAGACTGTTGAGGTTCTTTTAATAAGCACCTACTTAGTTATATTATTATTTGTTGCATTACGACTTGAAATGGTTAATTAAAACTAGTGATCTTATAACTAGATGTACATAAATTTGCACGTATGTCTGCTGAGTGCAAATTTAATTTTGTAAGGTCGTTTTGTGTCATCTTGTAGTGTGATTAATTATTGTCAAATCCTTTCCTAAAGTCACGTTTATCTGATACAAGTGCAAACACTTGTAATTACATCTAATGGCTTGTTTTAAGCGTGTATGTATAATACATTATTGCCGAACGATTAACAAATATGTACATCTAAATTATTAACAATCGTCACACGTTGGTACCAGCGCCATGTACCTACATATACGTAATAAACGCTCTATTTTAGTTGTGGTTAAATCTCATTAGTTAACATCATTTGTATATATCATTTCTACATACAAATTTTATGATTTAAAAAGACAAAGCACAAGAATGCTGTCACAAATTTTAATTTCGCTAGTTTGTCATTGAGTGATTTCTGCTCTACCTGCTGCTTGTCATGGACCTGTTTTTTCTTTTGTCGTTAGGTAGCAGTTAATAGTTTCGTTCTTTTTTTTACGTACATTGTAAGAAAAATGTACAAAGGCGTCCTTCACACTTAATTGTATTCTTCGAAAGTATCCGTATCGAAAAGAGCGAGATTTGTTTTGACCGACACTTCCGTTCGTTTCTTCGTTCAAGCGTTGTTAACGAGCATGTACGCATGAGAATTTCATGCATTTCAAATCAGCTAAGAGAGAAGTTCACGAACAAACGAACGAAGGTGGATGCTAATAACGGGAGGGCAACATACCAAACCATCATTCGGCAGTTGGAAATGTCGACTGTGATGATGGTACACGGTAATCACAAGGGGGTAGCGCTACGTCCCCTATAAAACTTTAACGCATATGGGTAACGTGGAACGTTAATAACCACACGCAATTTCGTTCCTACATCACCTGATTCGTTTAATTACAATTCCAGCTTTGCATTCCAACCTCTGCATGCAAGTACAACCAAATTTTGTTCCTAATTCGAACGTAATTTTATGGTGCAAGAATATTTTAAACCATTTTTAAAACAGTTTCTGTTGATTGGACTATTTGGGTGCCTATTTGGTGGTCCCTCCTGTAAAGTATCGGCGCGTGACTTATTGATGATGCATCTATCCTGTTGAATGCCATAAAACAAAAGAAATTAACCTACGATTGCGGAATCCAGGTGTTTTGGTTTTAGGGTTCTGTACGTTCAAATGAAAAGCGGAACCCTTATAGAATCACTGGTGTATTTGTTCAGCGAACTATAGGTATAATAAATGATAAACTGTAATAAACATGAATTTTTGTATGTTTCTATCTTGTCATTACTGAGAAATTCCAAGAAGTAGAAAAACAAAATTGATAATCTTTAAAGTTTCCTAAACAACTATTTAATATAGGCGAGTTAGATTTCCCAGAGAATTAACCAATCACATTCAAAATAATTTTATATGAGAATCTAATATCAAGCATATTCTTTTATATGAAATCAAAAAATTCAGTTACACAGTATGTGCCGTTTAAAGATACAAATATTTCCTGCTAAATACATTCCGTGCTGGATTGAACGAGTTACTTCACCGTTAAGCAAATTTGACATTTTCATCACGTATGCATGAAGTCTCAGCTTCGAACTTTAAAAATGCAAAATTGACTATGCTTTCTCTGCCTTACCAAGAGAATCTGAACAAGAAGGATCGGAAAAATGTCCTTTGAGAGTTCTGGATGATATTGCTGTATTAAAACTACCTCAAGATATAGTTTCTTCCTTCAGAATGTTTTTAAATAATACGTTTAATCATAGATGGGATACGGTTTTTAGAAAGGAAACGGAAATGAAAACCAATGAATTATAAAATTGTAATGAGCTAAACCTAAAAATTACTAAAAAATCAATCTTATTATAAATAATACTTATTATTATGATGTATCGGGGATGCACCAAAAACAACGTAACGTTCAACATAGCTTTTTTTACAAGTATAGTCCTCGAATACCTGTATAAACTGTTGTAAAAATATCGAATTATGTAATTGTAAAAAATATTCTGATGAAGTCCAGAAATCTTATCAAAATTAATTTAAAATTTAAAACAAAATTTCATATAAAAAATCTAGTTTCTAAAATGCTGTGCAGTCGAAAATTGATGATTTACGTTAAAAAATAACATCCTGAATATCGAATGTATGATGATATGTAAAATTAATAAGGATAATATCGTATAATCAGATATTTTAGTTGCAAGATAAAAACGTTAATTCTTTAAGTTAAATCGATCGCTTTTACAAAATTTTGGCTTCTTTTGCAGCTTTGTTCTACGTTAGAACTTATGTAACTATTCTGTATATTTTTTGGGCATATTCCTTTTTGTATATGACACACCATAAGTTTTATTTTTGAATTTTTGTCTTTATTTATTTCTGTCTAACTATATAGGGGAGGCGTATTATTTATTGTACCTTTGTAATTCATTTTTCGTGATTTTTGTAGATAAATATCTTTGTCTCGAAGTTGATAAAGTACGAAATCCTTTTTTGTTTTGTTTTCATAGAACCTCATACCTCAGCAGGTATCAAAGTTTTTGCCCTAAAGCAATTTTCGATTATTATCGCGAATTAAGCCGTCAGTCGAACTGTAATAACGTTAATATTCGGCGACAAGTGCCCAATAGCAATGGCAACTAGCGAAAATCTATTGGATTAAAAAAAAAACTATTTGGTGAAGGCGCACTAATTAATTTGTAGATGGTCACATTGCGAACTTGACCTTGATGTCGATATTTCTTTGGCGAACCGTAGCAAAATGGAATGCCTGGCCAGGTTATAAATAAAGATTATTCCATCACAGATCATCATCACCGAAATAAAAACAAAA